TTGTTTAACACACTGTGACCAGAGCAATACAGTGTTACCATAGCAACATTGTACTACTCTGGGCAAGTGATCAGTATTTTTATTTTTTTTTTACACATTATGATCGCTTATACTAATGTATTTCATTGATATTAGTAACCATTTTTACTGGATGAAACTGATTCATTCAGTGTCTTTTGTTGTGATTAGCTATGATTGGCCAAAACACATCCCATGGTACAGATGGGCTGTGATTGGCCCTGTCTGTACCATGTAACCGCTGTGACCAATTACAGCTAACACCACAATTGTATACAGTGGATGGCTTCCTTTCATGCTATCCATTGTATACAATTGTCATGTGATCTACTGTGATTGCTCACAGCAATCACATGACACTGGCAGTGGGCCGGTGTAGTGATCTGTATGTGTCTGGTGGACACAGCAGGTGACAGATTGCAATCTGTCACCTGCTGTGTCCACCAGACATAGAACCACAGCACGGCCACGTGAGCGGCGCCTCCCGAGAGGATGCCATATGACATCCACTCAGAAGGAGGAGTGTCCTTCCCGGTCGTCAATCTGCTATAAGTCGGATGGGAAGGTGTTAACTCTGCGACATACAGAATGTTCCACCTGGACCACAAGCACACCAACGCGTTTCACTCCAACTAGAACTTACTCAAAGGGTATGAATCGGCTCTACTTGGAGTGAAACGCATTAGCATGCTTGTTTTCCAGGTGGAACATTCTGTGTATCATAGAGATGAATAAACTTGAGCCAAGCTTTTAAAGTGTAGTAAAGTCTAACAAAATGAAAAATATCCAGGTCCCCTGCAGGTTAATGCCCAAATGTACTAGTATGCATCGCAGCCTAACACATTATGGCAGATTTACCTTTCAAACAAAACCCTCCAGTGGTGCAATGTCACTGTTGCCGGTGCTTCCATCCTTACCTAGACTTCTTTCTGGGTTTGTGTGCTCCGACCGTTTGAATGGCTAGGCCGCGATGACATCATTCCTGCTCATGCGCGCTGGAGTCACAATGCCAGCATGGCGCTCTGCACTCACTGACACACTCTTTGTGCCCTGAATGTAAATCCTCCTCACAAGACCTCCTACTCTCAAGCTCCCTGGTCTCCTCCTCCCATGCCCGTCTCCAGGACTTCTCCAGGGCTTCCCCCATCCTCTGGAACTCCCTACCCCAATCCATCAGACTATCACCTACTCTGCTCACCTTTAGGTGCACACTGAAAACCTATCTATTCAGGGAAACCTACCCCACCCTCAGCTAATTAATGAACTCCTCCCCTCTCTCCTACCACTCCATCCCCCACAGCTATTCCTCCCGTACCACTCTCCCCTCCCTCCTAGATTGTAAGCTCCAAGGAGCAGGGCCCTCGAACCCCTCGTGTATTGAATCGTATTGTTACTGTACTGTCTCGTGTATTGTCTCCCACCTTAATGTAAAGCGCTGAGCAAACTGTCGGCGCTATATAAATCCTGTATAATAATAATAATTCCTCCTACCAGTCCATCCCCCACAGTTATTACCTTTTGTACCACCAGCCCTCCCTCTTAGATTGTAAGCTCCCAGGATCAGGGCCCTCCTATCCCTCTTGTATTGAACTGTATTGTTGCTGTATTGTCTCCCGTTATATTGTAAAGAGCTTAGCAAACTGTTGGCGCTATATAAATTCTGTATGATAATTCCTCCTATCAGTCCATCCCCCACAGTTTAATAATAAAGCATCACTGTGCAGGCGCGGTGACGTCATCAGCAATTGCCAATGCGAATATCTCTTAAATGGTACACGTTTAGGAGATATTCATTGCATCTACAACTAGGCTTTATTGCACGCTTACTGTTTAAAATGATCGTTTACTACCGCTTTAAAACAGTGAGGGGCATCTCCTCCTTTTTGTGAGTTTTTTTGGATGGATTCTGTATCTAGCCGTTAACCTGGAGTTCAGATTTAACTTTACTTTCCAAATAATAGTCTGTACAAAACTTCAATCTCGCAAGCGCTTCCATATCAGAGACTCAGGATAGGAAATTTGTTGAAAGGAACAGTGGCTGGTAATGTAATACTTCTACCTTCAAACCAATCCCCTGAAAATATAAAAGAGTTTGGGAAACAAAAGCAGAAGGCTTGGACACCGTGCCGGAGAATTGCCTTGTGTTATTGCCAATTTAGGCCGTGCCGTGTCATTCCAAGATGATTAAGAAAATCGGAGGGACCAAACAGAGCTCTATAAAAGTTCTGAGAGCTCACATTCCGAAATACAATGAGCAGGCAACTTTGTAGAATATTTCGCTGTTAAAAAGTCGATTAATGGACCCCCCGAAGCGCCGGAGGAAAACATCTTGACCAGCAATTAGTGTCCTTGTGGAAACATTTTACATTTCAAATAGGCGGCATACTGTTTGCGCTTTATGTTAAGTAAAATCGTGACCATTTCAGCTCAAATCACAACGTATTCTTTCCTTTCTCAAGCAAGCATTGAGTAAACCATTCTGCTCCCACTGAGTGGCAGATTGTAATACGGGCATTTCAAAGGTGGTAGAGCAGGGCCCTTGGCAAGGGGGTCCAGGTCTACCCCGCTTATTCAGCAGTGAAATAATGACCTTAATAAAAGGTAAATGGTCATTCAGAGTGAATTGTTGCTTTATGTTCCAGATACTCTGCACACGTGTCAAATTGTGAAGCTTAATTTCAGAATGTATGAGAACCCAACAAACAGGGCTAACTAGACCTGCCGGGTAGCTCATGGGCCGCTAACTACTAAAAGGTAAACTGAGGATAAAGCTGAAACATTAGCCCTTGATGTACATACAGGACTTAGAGCTGAGCTACTAGGAGTTCATCCCTAAGAGTAGCAGTATTGCAGAAGGCCACCCCATTGTTATATTCCGTTGTTCATCGCAACCTATGTAAAATGTCCTGTTTATGTTGGCCATAGATGACTCGATTTTTCTTCAAATATTTTGTACAGAAATTCTAAAAAATTATTAGAACATTGTCATTATTGAGTCAATAATAAAATTCGAAAACCGCTAAAATTTCGTCAAGACCTGGTACTTGAATGGAATCCCAGATGTATCAAACAGGCTTCATTAAAATATGTACAATTCTTCCTGAATGAAAACTACATTCATAGTTAGAATTTCGATTCTTCAAGAAAAAATGTCCATCCTGCTCCTTTAAATGTTTTTGGCTCTATGGTTAAACACAGGGGCGGACTGACAACTCATGGGGCCCCCGGGCAATAGGGGATCATGGGGCCCCTGTGTCCTTGCCCAAACTCAAAAAAGCCTATGAAAAAGGTATCAGGGGCATCTCATGGGGCCCCCTACTGACCCCGGGCCCTCGAGTTTCCAAATGGTCAGTCCGTCCCCGGTTAAAAATGAATGATAGTTTGGCTCAATCAACCGTTAGAAAACTGAACAAGTTTTCTGAAAAAGAGTGATGGATTGTAATATGGCCAAGGAGGCCCTGATTTGTTCCGTTTATACTTAACAGTGGAATATTGACCTTGATAGAAGATAAATGGTCCTCAGAGTGACTCGATACTTTGGGGTTAATTTACAAAAGCCAAATAGACTGTGCACTTTGCAAAGTGCAGTTACTCCAGAGCTTAGTAAATGAGGTAAAGCTTCACTGCATATGGGTGTCATCCATGAAGGAAGTCTCTCCTAAAACCCATGCACAAAAAAACCCGCCTAGAATTTGCCAAGGCCCATGCTGAAAAAGAAGACTACTGGGACTCTGGAGTGATGAGACCAAAATACATGGTTTTTTTTCATGTTTTTGGAACTGATGGCTTCAAAACTGTCGGGCATCGAAAAGGTGAGGAGTACAAAGAAAAATGCATGGTGCCTACAGTGAAACATGGTGGTGGCAGTGTCCTTCTGTGGGGCTGCATGAGTGCTGCTGGTGTCGGGGAGCTGCATTTCATTGATGGCGTCATGAATGCACAGATGTACTGCTCTACATTGAAAGAGAAGATGCTCCCATCACTCCGTGCCCTTGGTCGTCATGCACTTTTCCAACATGACAATAATCCAAAACACACATCTAAGGCCACTGTTGAATTTCTGAAGAAGAACCGGGTGAAAGTGGTTCAGTGGTCAAGTATGTCTCCTGATCTGAACCCAATCGAACACCTATGAGGAATTCTCAAGAGACAAGTTGAGCATCACTCTCCATCCAGCATGCAGGCTATAAAAGACGTCGTTCTTGAAGAAAGGAAAAAGATCGATGTTGCAATATGTCACCAACTTGTTCATTCCATGCCTAGAAGACTTGGTGCTGTCATTACAAATCATGGAGGTCATACAAAATACTAGATGTAGTAGTTTTGGTTGTGGGGTGGATTCATTTTTGTATCAAATAATTTGAGTAAAACTGAAGATTTTGTAATCTAAGTTATATTATGAACCTTATTTTGATGTAATGAGCATAATGAATGTTTTGTCAAAATTTTGGAAATGAATCTTGTGTTCATTGATATATTGATTAAAATCTTACATTTCAAAAGGGGTGTACTCATGTATGCTGAGCACTGTATATATATATATTATTATTATTATTATTATTATACAGTATTTATAAAGCGCCAATAGTTCGCTCAGCGCTGTACATTACAAAGGGGGACAGAACATGTGACAGAACAATACCAATACAATGCAAAACATGAGGGGATCGAGGGCCCTGCTCCTTGGAGCTTACAATCTAGGATATATATATATATATTATTATTATACAGTATTTATATAGCGCCAAAGGGTTTGCTCAGCGCTGTACAGTAGCAAGGGGGACAAACATGAGACAAGACAGTAACAATACAATACACGAGGGGTTCAAGGGCCCTGTTCTTTCGAGCTTACAATCTAGGAGGGAGGGGGTAGAGGTACAGGAGGAAGTAGCTGTGGGGGATGGAGTGGTGGGAGGAGTGGAGGAGGTTAGTTGATAGGTGAGGTCAGGTGTTAGGTGAGGTTGGGGTAGGCTTCCCTGAAGAGGAGGGTTTTCAGGGTGTGCCTGAAGGTGAGGAGGGTAGGTGACAGTCTGATGGATTGGGGTAGGGAGTTCCAGAGGATGGGGGAGGCCTAGAGAAGTCCTGCAATTGGGTGTGGGAGGAGAAGACCAGGGAGCTAGAGAGTAGGAGGTCCTGTGAGGAGCGGAGGGCACGGGTAGGGTAGTATTTGGGTATCAGGTCAGTTATGTAGTTTGGGGCGGCGTTGTGAATATTTATGTATTTATGTATACTGTGTGTATGTGTATATATATATATCAAAGAGATGGGTGGGAGGCAGATCTCAGTGTGCTAGGTGCAGAAAATGGCAGGCCCCAAGCTGTCCACATCAAATAGTAATACACAAAAGGTTGCCACACTTCAGAGTTGGCCACTGCACACTATAACAAGGGTAACTGCTCAGGTGCACTCCATATAAAAGTCTTGTGAAAGGTGTGCCGCCAAGCATTCCTGCCACACCAAGCAAAATGTCCTTTTACTTCCTTCAGGTGTCACTTTTATACCCATTGAGCAATGAGCAGTGTTATCTAACTACAGCTCCCATTCCAGTTAAAACCTGTGGAACTTTTTCTAGGGTACACAAATCAATAAAGGATTTCTATTTTTACTGGAAACACCCTTTAGGTACAGTATATGTAAACCAATTAAAGATACGTTTTATGCTTCACCTTTACCATTGAACCCATCATTTTTCATATGGTCCCTTTTTCTCTGCAATCTAATGATCCCACTAAGCATCTTAAGAAACTTTCAGCAGAGGGTTGACAGCGCTGCTAGAGGGCTGTTGAAATTCTAGCAAGGTTGTCACCCTCTACCAGGGGCGGACTGACAACTCATGGGGCCTCCGGGCAATAGGGGATCATGGGGCCCCTGTGTCCTTGCCCACACTCAAAGCACACCCAAAAAAGGCTATAAAAAAGGTACCAGGGGCATTTCATGGGGCCCCCTACTGACCCCGGGCCCTCGGGCAGTGCCAAGTGCTCGAATTGTCAGTCCGCCCCTCTACCCATAGAGAGTATAGGCCTTGTCTGCCTAAGACAGTGGTTCTCAACCTTCCTAATGCCGCGACCCTTTAATACAGTTCCTCATGTTGTGGTGACCCCCAACCATAAAATTATTTACCCAGTAATTATAATTCATGAGTGTCGTTTTACCTCCAATACTGCTGCTTTCAACACAGTAGCTGCTTTTAACAGAGTAGCTGTTTTCAACACAGTAGCTGCTCATTTTTTCTGTATTGTGTGCTTGCAGCTGCCAGTGGGAAGGAGAGAGGGGAAGCTGGCAGCACTGGGGGCCTGGGCAGCAGGGGGAAATGTATGGTGCACAGGGAGGGTGATGGGTGTGGCAGAGGGGCAATTTCTAGAATCCATCCCCTGTATGGCTCTCTATGCAGCAGCTAAAAACCAGTGGGAGTGAGAGGATACAAAGCCGGCTTTTAGCTGCTGCAGTATGAGCCACACAGGGGATCTGTTCCAGTAATTGCTGCCCCGATCACCCTCCATGCCCAAATCTGATTCACCCAGCTGTCTGGGTCCCCCTGCTGGCCTGAGCCCCATACAGGTGGACTGGTGGTATCCCCCCTGCCCAGAAGCAAGTGTAGATCGCTGGAGTAGCAGTGTCTACTACAGTGATTTCCAGCTTCTAGGGGTCCATGGAGCCTAGGGTTCCTCCAAAGGTTTCTATGGAGTTCCTTGAGCTGTGACTGACTGATCTCTCATGTGATGAAGCCTGCAGAGTTCTGGGACCAATGCCACTTGGCAGTGCCAGTGCAATGACACCAATGATCTTTATGTATCTGTAAAGGTGGCATTCTGACCACCACTGTAATGGAAGCATTCCTTCTGCTATCCATCAGTGAAGGGGGCATTCTTTCCAATGACCACCAATACAAAGGGCATTTTTTCCAATGACCATTGGTAAATTGGCTTAAAGCGGAGCTACACCCAAAAGGGGAAGTTCCGCTTTAAGGACTGCTCCCCCACTCCCCATTAAGGATTGGCACCTTTGGGGGGGTGGGGGGGAGCGGGTACCCAAATTTGACAGGTACACGCTCCCACTTCCAGTCCGATCACCTAGGCGATTGGAAGCCGAAGGTGTCCTCCCTCCCTTCCTGTAGTCCAGTGGTTCTCAACCTTCCTAATGCCGTGACCCTTTAATACAGTTCCTCATGTTGTGGTGACCCCCAACCATAAAATGATTTACCCAGTAATTATAATTCATGAAGTGTCGTTTTACCTCCAATACTGCTGCTTTCAACACAGTAGCTGCTTTTAACACAGTAGCTGCTTTCAACACAACAGCTGCTTTCTACACAGTAGCTGCTCTTTACACATCGGAAATATGTGTTTTCTGATGGTCTTAGGGGACCCCTGTGAAAGGGTCGTTCGACCCCCAAAGTGGTCGCGACCCACAGGTTGAGAACCACTGGCCTAAGAGAACATCGACAACGTTGGGCTTTGTCCATGACTAAAGGAGGGAGTCATGTGAAGACCCGCTATGATATACTCCCCCAGACATATCAGTCATGTAAGCACTATGAAACTTTTAAAATATGGTATTAATGAAGAATTTGTTGGGGTGTTGCTTGTATGTCCGTGTATTGCTCAGCATGCAATATCATTTTGCATGTGACAATTTACTCACTCTAGCCTCTTTCGGGTCATACAGAGGTTTGAGCGTGTCAGGAATGCAACTAGGTTGCAATTTCCATGCACCAGCTGTCACTGTTTTGGAAACAAACCCGCACCAGCACGCGCTTGGACCTCATCAGGCTGGGAATGCATGGCACCATTGTTCTGGTGGTAACAAAAAAACTGTTTATGTTTTTGTGAAGAATAGCAAACTGGTTGTCTGAGCCCGGTTTACACAAAAATAAAATTGTTTCATTACCAAATGTTTTCATCATGATGGCTCTCTTTCGCATGTCATGTAATGAAGTATTATGTATTATTGGCATATGATATAATAGGCCAATTATTGTGTACCGCAATCAAGTCCACAGACACAGTCTGTACAAAGGAAAAGTGGCGTCACTCAGAACCGCCAACCAGAAAAGCCTACATTTTTTCATTTGAAGCTCAACCCTGGGCAATTTTTTTGTATTCGAATGGTGTCCCAAGAGTTGTAAAATAAAAAAAACAACAGCTTTGACAGCAATACTCACCTCCTCTCCAGCACTGTCCTCCACAGTAATCTTGTTTACCACTAGATTTCCTCAGTCTTGAATGATGCCGGGTGCCATTCATCCCTTATGTCTGGAGACATCCTGTAAGCATCAAGCTTCATCATGGCAGTCTTTGCTCACATACAATGATGCAGAGATTGGCGCTCTCATCACATAAGGAAGGGGGCTCAGGAGGGGACTTTTAAGCTCAGGTTTACACAACAAACCATCAGCCCGCTGCCTCTAGCCCCTGAACCCAAACTAATCCACCCCTGCCCTAGTGGCCAGCGGCAGAGATCTCAGACTGAAGGAGATCAACACTGGAGGAGGCCACCACTGTTATGGAGAAGCAACCAAAATAGCCAAAGTCTGTCAGACCATCACACCTAAATGGTCAAAAGTAAGGAGACTTCCTTTCAAATCATTGAGATTTTTCCATTTAGGAGTACTGCCTACCAGGCCATTTCATGTGGCCCTTGCACCTCTCCTACAGCTGCGGCACCCACCTTGTCTCTGCCCTCTCATCTACGCTTCCCCTGATCATAGTATTCAGCAGACTCTGGCAGCTGACTCCAACCCTCTTCTGATCCTACTCCAGACTTTCTGCTTCCCAGCTCTGCCCCCAGCATTTTCCCAGCAGCAGCACAAGGTAAGGGAGGGTCACTGTTAGGGGCGGACTGACAACTCATGGGGCCCCCCGAGCAGTAGGAAATCATGGGGCCCCTGTGTCCTCGCCCATACTCAAACCACACCCAAAAAAGCCTATGAAAGGTACCAGGGGCATCTCATGGGGCCCCCTACTGACCCCGGGCCCTCGGGCAGTGCCCAAGTGGGTAAATGGTCAGTCCGCCCCTGGTCACTGTGATGTAAGTGATGTGTAGTCTTCATAAAGGCCTGACTTCATCCCTATCGAAACTGTGTGGAAAGCCTTCCCAGAAGAGTAGAGGTCCTACTCTTGCAAAGGGACCAACTCTGTATGGTTTTGTCCAACTATTACATACAGTACAAAGATGACATTAGGAAGTTACACAGACACTGGGTTTCGGCAGGATCAACAAGTATTTTTTCTGTACTTGCTAAAAATGTACTTAGTCTGAAAAAAACAAATGGCAGCCACCAAATCTAAGGACTGCTTAGCTTCAGCATATTACGTTGTTATTCTTGGGTTTAGATATACTTTAATCCAGGGACGGACTGACCATTTGAAAACTCGGGCACTGCCTGAGGGCCCGGGGTCAGTAGGGGGCCCCATGAGATGCCCCTGGTACCTTTTTCATAGGGTTTTTTGAGTTTGGGCAAGGACACAGGGGCCCCATGATCCCCTATTGCCCGGGGGCCCCATGAGTAGTCAGTCCGCACCTGCTTTAATCCAAACAATTTTACATTTATATTCGTAAACAAGAAGAAATAAAAGACTATTGTTACTCTTTAAGTGCTGAAATCTATCACTCTGCATTACTTTTAAAAGGTGAAGATGCCTTTTAATGTGTTTGCTGGGTGCACAGGAACACGTGAAAGCTCTTGCCTAAACGACAAGCAGAGAAGTCTGTTTATATTAGGCTTGAATAAATGTCATTGTAATATAATAAAATCTTTTATAACCGTGGCCCCGTTTTACTGGCAGTCATGTTTTAATTGGATCACATTTTACTAGGTACATACCCTGTGGAGTGGCAGGATCTAACTGAAATAAATACAAACAGAACGGGGTCAGGTACAACACTCAGCTCTCTTATAAAGGAGAAGGCTGTCTGTTTGGAAAGCAGGAGGATATTGTTTAAAGGGAAGGAGAAGACTTCCTAACCCATTTTATTTTATTCTGTTAAACATTTACAAGT